TAATTTGAGGGATCTAATGTATAGGCGGATTTGAAGAAGGAAAAATTTGGGTTTTTGGCCTACCTGGACTATAATTCCATTTAGGCCGAAAACCCCAATTTTTTCCTTTTTACTAAAGGCATTGATGATTATATATTCGAGACTCCCAACCAAATGTGTGGGGATTTTATGGCGATAAAGAATAATTTGAGGGATCTAATATATAGGCGGATTTGAAGGAGGAAAATTTGTTTTCGGTATATTTATGTAAAATTAGAAAATAAGATCATGAGCATTTCGGCTAAAATTAACGAGTAATTTGAAATAGGCAGCCTAAAAGTAGATAACATCGGGTTTAAGAATCGATTGATGCATAAAAACAAGTGTTAAGGTTGCAAACATATTAACAGTATATGTTAAAAAATATCAAGAAATTTGAAATTGCCGGTCTAAAAGTTGCCAGTAGAATCCGCTTTAAGAACTGATTGAAGCATAAAACAAAAATTGAAGATCAAAATAGGTTGCAAATATATAGACTAGCGATTTTTATTTTAAACCTGAATTTCAGCCTAAGTTAGGTCAGCAGCATACAGCGTTCTATTGGGGGTGTCTACTTATCTTTAAAACTTGTTTTAGGGAGGAATGCAACAGTAATTTTTTATAGGTGTGCGTGACACGACAGTGAAGATGAAGAGAAATTGCAGCAAGCACATTATTGCCATATAGAAAAGTATAAAATTGATCAGGAAAAGTTTTTTTAAAGAGTTATGAGTTGTTTCGTTGCTTTTACCGTATATAAGGACATCCATAAATATTTCGTCACAAGAATTTTGTCTTTCTTTGCTGCTGTGACAACGTGGGTTCTTGTCACATTACTTAAATTACAAATTGATTGTATATTCTGGAAGTATTTTAAAACTTTCCTATAATAGTTTTACATTACTTAAGAAATGTGACGTTGCGTAATTTAGGACCTTTACAACCCTTTGTCACACTATGTCACACTTTATCGATCACGTCACTCCGCAATGTGTGACGAAATTTATGAATACGCCCTCTGTGTATTTATTTAGGGAGATAATTGCTTCGATCTTAATTTCTTTACTCAGTTAATTTTTTTAATACTATTTTTAAGTAATAATTAGATACTACAACAGCTGATCATTAGGCGGGGCGTATGCTTAAAATGCGTTAATTAACGACCGTCCCGCTAATTTAACTAAATTATATTGCAAGCGTTTATAACCTAAAATGGCATATAAGAAAAGGTGGGATACAATTTTTTAATCTATGTTTTTTTGTACTTAAATCTTAAAATAGTATGGCGTTTTTTTTTCTATTTACAAATTCAGTACATATCATAAATCGACGTAAGGGGAATAAATAATATTTTAAATATACAGTTGAATGAACGAATATCCCTGGAAAATTCACACAGCGCCATCTAGTCCTAAGATAAGCAGAGCTTGTGTTTTATAATAGACAACTGATATAAATACTTAGATATTTTTTTGTACATGATATACTAGACAGAAATATAAATGACCGCACCGTGCGAGGAATCGAACCCGCGACCATATAGACCATTATTGGTAGTTTCTTTAAATCAAAATATCTTTATTCATGTAGGTCTACAGACTTATGATAAGTCAAATCTACCGTCAGTTCGTAGTGATTTCGACCCAAGAACTGATAAGAAACACAGCTCGTATTCTTTTCAAACGAACATGTACATGTTTACAAAAATTAAGATTCACTTTTAAATTCAAATTTGTAAGAAAAGACTGACCACCAGCATATGCTATTGCAATTTTGTCAAAAGGAAACATTGTAATCGGCTGTAAACCGGATAGAGCTCAGCATCTTTACATAATACGAATGGTATTATTTTTTTCAAGTGGCTCCACTGAAAATCAGCGCTGTAGTGACACACTGCCTTTTCAGCATAGCGAATTATTAGTTATTAAGTTTTCTTTTTTACTCTGTACTCTTTTTCATGCTGAATAAATGATTATTATTATTATTAATAACTTAGTACAAGCTCTGCTTAGGTTGGTACTAGATGGCGCTACGTTCAAGTTTTTAATAACCATTCGTTCTTCATTCACTCGATGTCATTCAGTAAAATTTGACAGATCTTGTTTCAAACACCTATTACGCATCGCAACGTAAATTTACTAAGAAATAACGCGCTTTTGCGAGACATTTATACATATTAAAGTTATAAGTAATTTTATTAATTAATTTTCAATTTTATTCATATTAGAACAAAGTCGATATTGTGTTGGCACTGAATAATAGTTACTTGTAAAGAAAAAATACACGTAAAGATGAAATGGTACTTGTTAATATCGACTTTGTAATATGAATTTACTTGCGAACTTTTAAACTATCATTCTCTCTCTTTCTATCACGTAATAAGAGAAAGAGACGCATTCATATATTACATTTAAATTTCAGTAATTAAAATTCAACCTTATTCCAATTAAAACAAGTCGATATTGTTTTGACGCCGAAAATAGTCACGTGTTGTTTCGGAAACATACAGAAACATCGGACTTTGTAAATAAAATTAATACACGTATCGTGCAGATATCTATCTCTTTCTATCACGTAATAGGAGAAAGAGATGCATTCATATATCATATTTTAATGACATTATTTAAATTTCAACCTTATTCCAATAATAACAAAGTCGATATTGTTTTGTCACTGAAAATAGGCACGTGTTGCTTCGGAAACATACAGATGTTTTTAATCGACTTTGTAAATACAATTAATTATCGTTATACCTCTTTCTTTCTTTACATCATAATTTGCTAATAAATGTATTAATTAAATTTCAACCTTATAAGAATTGAAACAAAGTCGATATTGTTTTGCACTGAAATATAGTCACGTGTTAAAGTTATACATACAGATAAGATCTTACTTATCAATCGACTCGTTCTATCTCTTTCTACCACGTACCAAGTGAAAGAGACGCATTCATCATATTTTAATTGCAGTAATTAAATTTCAACCTTATTTGAACTATAACAAAGTCGATATTGTTTTAGCACACAGATATTAATATCGACTTTGTAAATAAAATGAATTCACCTACAAAACTGTTAACCTATCATTCTATCTCTTTCTATCACGTAATAAGTGAAAGAGAAGCACTCACATATATTAATATAAAATGAATTTACTTGCAAATTTTTAACCTATCATTCTCTCTCTTTCTATCACGTAATAAAGAAAAGAGACATAATCATAATAATCACAATTCGACTATACTTCCATATCGTGCAAACATCTGTCTCTTTCTATCACGTAACAAGTGAAAGAGACACACTTCTAAAATATCGTTCTCTCTTTCTATCACATAACAAGTGAAAGAGACGCATATACCATATTCATGATTCGGTATTGTCCAATAGAATTAAAGTTATTAATTCTCATTACATACATAATTTGAGATTTTGTCTATGATTTTGATGTATAAACCAAAATTTTGTTGTCTCTGGACAGTGGATCATATTTATAGGATCTTATATAATGTAACTGCCCCTTAAAATTTAATTCTATTAATGAACTATTGTTAGATATTTGATATAAATGTTTTGTATGCATCAATATAAATATGTTTTTCTTTCTTTCATTAGCAAAAGAGAATTGAAAATTGTATGATCACGTGATCACAGATTTCGTATGAAAAATATTTATTTTAAAATTCCCTTGTTTCCTTTATTGGAGCTGTGTATGCAAAACACAAAGTCACGACCAATTCATTTTGTATGAGATCATTCAATTTGTATGACACCATACATTTTGTATGACACCATTCAATTTGTATGACTTCATTATGTATGACACCATACATTTTGTAAGAGACCATTCAATTTGTATGACATCATACATTTTGTAAGACACCATTCAACTTGTATGACACCATACATTTTGTATGAAACATTCTATTTGTATGAGACCATTCATTATGTATGACACCAGACATTTTGCATGAAACCAATAATTATGTATGACACCATACATTTTGTATGAGATCATTCAATTTGTATGTAGTTCACGTGTCAGTCACACCAATATAATTGACAAACAGCTCAGCTGAGACTCGAACCGTGTACCTTACGTTTCACATGCATAACACTGACCTCGTCTCGTTAAAACGGTCCATGATTCGTCAGTTATCGTTCATTAGAAACGTAGGAAACAATGGAGAAATGTCAAAACTAAATATTTCGCTACATAGTTAAAAACTGTTAGGTTTTAAAAGCAGACGTTTTAAAACGTTTTTATAAAACATTCATTTTGAAACGGCGACTTTTTTATCAGAATTGTTTCTAAAATGTATACCATTTTTAAACGCAGACTTCAGAGAAGCCACCGTAACCTGGTCAGACTTTAAAATGGCCCTTATTTTAACACGACTGTTTGTGAAACGTGTGCGTTTAAATAACTCAATCATTTTATGATGAACTTTTGTAAAATGTATGTTAAAAAACGCAGTCGTTTTCAAAAACGCATCACAGTAGCTGTAACATTATGTCTTTAAAAACGCCGTTTATTTTAACACGCCCATTTCTAAAACGCATGCATTTCAAAAACGACAACGTCTTTATCATAAACTTGTGTAATTTGTATGACGTTTAAAAACGTAGTCGTTTTTAATTGCATCAGTGTAGCGGTAACCTCGTCTGAATTTAAAAATGTAGCTTATTTGAATTGACTGTTATTATGTGTGCGTTTAAAATACGCATACGCTTTTAAAATGTATCAGAGTAGCTATAATCTCGTTTGAAAACGCTGCTTTTTTTGACACGTCTGTTAATTACACGCAAGCGTTTAAAAACGCATGCTTCTAAAAGCGCAGGCGTTTATAAAACGTTTTTGAGTAGCGGAAACCTCGACTGATTTTAAAACGCCGCTTACTTTAACCAGTAGTAAAACACATGCGTTCATAAATGCTTACGTTTTAAAACGCATACGCTTATAAAAGCGTAGACGATTAAAAAGCTTCATAGTAGCCGCTGTAACCTGGTCTGACTGGGCGTGGAGCGGTGCTGCTTGAGGAGTTGCTTGTGCTTGGGGTCCAGCATGGCGGTGTACCCCTCGGGGGTACACAGCTGCGGGTGACGCTGGTAGAAGCTGCGGTACCCCTCGTGGAGAAGGTAGACCTCGGGGTAGTGGAGAGATGGGTAGTTCTCCATGTTCTTGGCGCGATCGGACGAGCGGAGGAAACGAGATCTGTGGAGAAGATATACAAATATTATTAACATCTGTGGTCTAGCGGTTAGCACGTTGTTTTATAGTCACGGATTCGATTCCTCGCAAGAGAGCTGTGCTGTTTTCTATTTGATGTTGTTCATTTGTTTCATCTGTTTGTAGCTATATATTACCAACAGGAGCAAATATTTGTATCAGTCTGGGTGTTTTCTATACATATGTATATAATACTAGTTGTAGACGCGACTTCGTCCGCGTGGAATTTAGCTTTTTCTAAAATAAAAGTAGCCTAAGTTACTCCTTATTACATCAGCTACCAGCCAATAAAAGTCCCGTCAAAATCGGTCCATCCATTTCAGAGATTACCCGGAACAAACAGACAGACAGACAGACAAAAATTGTAATAAATATTATTTCGGTGTATGTACCGCATTTATATTCATATGCATGTAGTAAAAAACGTTTATTTCAATATTACAAACAGACACTCCAATTTTATTTATATGACTTACAACTTGGGTCCCCTCTCAAGTGAGAATTCGCAGTGGAAGACCAGTATGCTCCTTTTCGAGTCTTCATCCTTGGGCTGCAGTGGTTTGTTGACCATGGTGAGGATCTGAGCTGGTGTGTACAGGTTCACAGCGCCCAGGATGTGACCACCTTCAAACTCGTAGGGATAGCGGCAGTCTATCACCTGTAGAGTAAAGAATAAGTTTGTATTAATAAGATTGTTACTAATCACACACATTTTCATAAGAATAGACAATACATAATACGACATAAGATTTATAAAATTGTGTTATTATGTGTGATCTGTAGCAATACAAACAGGTCGAAGCTCAGCGTGGGACATTGTTCAGGGAACAAAACACTGATGTTCAGCTTCAACCCATTTGAGGGTACGTGAAAATAATAATTAAAATAAATATAAAATAAAAAGAGCAATATTATTAGTGATTGTCTGTGCGGTGTGTTTATAATAAAAGTAATGTAAATAGTTCACAGTATAATTTGATATAATTTTAACGTGAGTGGTAAGGATTAAAAAAAAATATATATTAAAAATAAAAGGCCGGATCATGTAAAGTATATCAAATTCAAATTCAAAATATCTATATTCATGTAGGTCTATTACAGACTCTTATGATATGTCAAATCTACAGTTCGGAATGATTTCGAGATGAGAAGAACTGACAAGAAACTCAGCTCGTATTTTTTTCAAATAATAGTGGAACATGTTTATAATAAACATAGTTTTTAAAATTCATATTTGGGAGAATAGAGTGACCACCAGCATATGCTATCGCAAAGAACAAACAATTTAATCAGTGTTCACAACCTGAACAGACCAGTCCCCACAAGCAGCACCCGTTCACGAGTATGACGTATGAGCCAGCCATCATTGTACTCAACCATATTTGAGGGAGCACATCGACCCGGCCCACCACGCCGCCATATATATTTCAGAGTATAGTTATATATTATTTTTTTTATATTAAGACATTTTTATACGAACCTGGAAATCGCTGATGGAATCCTGGAAGTCTCCCCTGAGGAGTGCTGCGAGGGTGTCACACGATATGGACTTCAGATCCGAGTGGTCCCCGCTGGTGAGAGGCAACGCGAACGGCACTGAGAAGTCTCCAATCAGATCTGGGTCCACGGCAGCTGGAATAAGTTTCATTTTTATACTGCTGGCAAACAAGCATACGGCCCATCTGATGGTAAGCAGTTACCGTAGTCTATGGACGCCTGAAACACCATGGGTGTCTCGCGTTGCCGACCCTTAAGAACTTATAAATGGGAAAGTAGTCATTTTTGTTACGCTATCACGCGAAAACTACTGAACCGATCATCATGAAATTTTGTACACATATTCTTAGAGATATTATAATGAACATAGGATACTTTTTATTAAAAAGAAAACGGTAAAAATCTAGTAGAAATATAAATGAACTTACATCTCGCTAATGCAGACATAATAGACGCATTGTTCTCTGAATACGCCCTCTGCAGCACTGGCCGTTGCACCTTCTCCGCATCACTAGTTCTCCGTCGCTTATTCACCACATTCTCCATCTCGCTCTTCTCCACTCGCTTCTGCGACCTCTTCTCCGGATTCTCCAGTATTGAATACAACGATACCCTTGCTTTACTCTGCGGGTTTAGACTGTAACTGCGTTGCAGTGGTTTCCTCTGGAAGTTCTTGTCTGTTAGAATACTATCCTTAATCTGTCCGGAGAGCAAGTCGTTGAAGTTTGCCATTTTTGGTGAATTCGATGCGTCTTCCATATCCAGGAAAGGTTCCTCCAGCTCCGATATGAACCCACTTTCCATTGAAGTTGTCGACTCTGATGTGAATATCCTCAGCCTGCTCGAAGCTGGTGAGGATATGGAACTCATGGATCCTATACTCGAGTCGCTACGTTCATGCCTCAGGGGGTTCTTCGTTGGCGTCTCTGTGAACTTCAGGGATTTCTTGACGGAGGCACTCGTGCTTGAGGACGATTTGGTGGCCGGTGAAGTGAATTCGAAAGTCTCGTCTTCGAAGTTCAGCATCCTCGTCGCATTTGCGTTCGGTCGGTTGAACGACGTCGACTGCTCATTATCAGCTAGTGGTGCTCCGAACGAGAAGTTTCTAGAATTAATTTTCCTTGCTGTGGTGGATCTACCTCTGGATATAATATTGGGACTGTCTGTGGATATTATTTCATACTTCGTGCAGTGATCAAAATTATCCGAATCGAATTCCTCTTCCAAGTCGTGCAGGGTTTGGAAATCCGAGTCCAGATCTGCATCGTTTTCTGGTACGAACATATCCTTGACTTCTTTCTCCATCTCGTAGGATTTCGATGGGATGCTGTTGGTGAAATCCAGCTGTGAACATGAAGAAATAAGACATTGTAATATTGTATTAAATTCGTTGTAATTGGTGTAGTAATGTAATAAATAGGCTCACATTGACGACCTCGGTGGTCTAGCGGTCTAGTGCGAGATTCCTCGCACAGCACAAACATTTGTATATGATTGTTTGTATCGGTCTGGGTGTTTTCTCTGCATAATATGTGTGTATTTACAAAAAAATATATATCTATGTATATGTATCAGTTATCTAGTATCCATAATACAAGCTTTACCTAGCTTAACTTGGGTCTAGATGGCGCTGTGTGAATTGTCCTGAGATTATTGTTATAATCTGTTTTCCGAGGACGGGACATGCCAAGTCTCTCGTAACTTTAGATTATTTGTATTGGGTATTGCTATATCTATTAAATATGTTACTTTATCTACTTTTATTATTATTATTCCTAACTTCCAAAAAATAAATCTCATCTCCCCTCTTAAGGAGAGGAGATGGCAACTTACCCCCGGCAGAATATTATTATTATTATTATTATTATTATTATGATAGTCCCTAGTTCTATATTCATGCAATAGAAATATTTGTATTCATAAGTGTGGTGCATGAATGTATTATAGAATGTAGAACAATGATATATTATAAGCTATTTTCTAAAATTACATTTCTATTTGTGAGACAATTTTAAAACTGTACATTCCCACAAAAAATTGTAATTAAATTAGAGAAAAATATTCAGAAAAAGGAAATATATTATAGAAGAATTTCTTGTATTATTCATATTAGTATAGAAAAGAGAGACAAAATATATTCTTTCTCATGAATAAACAAACAGGTATTAAACCCCATGACCAGAAGAAGCAACTGCTAAATCACATGGATGTAATATATTATATTAATAGGATGATACTCTAGTTATCAAAGATTTAATTGAATGTGTTTGCCCTCAATTATATCATTGATTTTTTATTGATGGGAGCCAATACAGTCAAGAATGTACAACTAAAGAAGATAAAGAATATAAATAGAACTAATATTAATTCAAATAAACTTATAATATAAGCACTTTAAAATGTTCAAATATTTTTATTTTAATATAAGATAGAATATTACCTTAGTCGTCGACCAGCTAGTCTTCGTCGACTGGAAACTCTCACCAAACGAACAATCCCTGGTTTCTTCCTCCACTTCCAGCTTCACGAAGGTCTCGCTCATCAATCCAATATTCTCTTTATCCATCTTGAATCTGGAACGTTCTTCGAAGATCCTAGATATCTTTGTCGTACTGGACTTCAGGATCCTGCTCGTTATAGGTGATGAGACATGCCTGTTAATTTGTGGTGACAGTCTATCCAGCACTGGAGAATTTCTCAACCTCTCAATAACGGGTGAGACTTTCGGCCTGTACAACGGAGAATTCTGTATCTCACCGAGGACTCTCCACTTCGAAGCTGATGCTATGGGTGACTGGGGTGAGTTGAAGTTCAACGAATGAGGACTCATTTTAATCTTGAAGTTTGTTGTGAGTGCTTCATCCTGTTTACGTTTTGTTCCGCTGTTCCCGGAGTTGATCTTGAAGTTTTCCGTGATCAATCTGTAAATACGGAAAGTTGTATGTTAGTTTGTGTTAATAAAACCACTCTGTTTACACCCTAAGGTAGAAGTTCCCAAACTCTTGTGTTATAGACCCCTTGCCATATTTTTCGGTTTTGGGTAGACTCACCATTCTTACCTGGTACTGATTTTTTGTAAATTTCTAACTGTAGTAGAGTTTAGTGTTAAAAACATGAAGTAAAAACAACAAGATGACTGCTGACCTAGAGCCTTTGCAGTTTGTCATAGACCCCTGGGGGTAAATATAGACCACTTATCCAGTGTTATAGATTAATTTTAAATCAATGTTATTGATGAGGGCCTTTTTATAATGGATATCACAAAAATAACAAATAATAAATATGATGTATTAAAAATAACTATTTCTAAATAGTACATATATAAATGTGTACATGTCACACAGCGCCATCTAGTCTCAACTTATAGAAAAACTTAAATATATTTTTTTAAATATACTTAAATGATGAAATAGTAGTGGAATATAATAGGAAGGGTGAATTAAGCCCATGGTATTAACCAGGCATTTTTTTACTATAATGGAATGGTGCATCCGCCACAAAATTTATACTAGAAACTTTTGGAAACTATGTACTCTCAAAATTATTTCTTCAACAAATGAAATGTGGTCATATCAAGTATTTGTGATGATAATGTAACGGTGCACCCGCCTGCGCTGACGGTTTACGCTGGCGGGGCATCAGTGGAGGATGATAAGATGAGCATGAGGTCATAGCCCGTGACAAATTCACCAGTAATTTATCACAATGGTTTCCAGGGGGAACCGCTTGGAGGTCAACCTGACATGGTACATTGCTGGCAATGAGATCATCAGTCCACAGTACTAACAATCTACTTACCCCCCAGGTCGTCCTAATTGAGTACATAGAAAATGTCACTACATCCCTTTGCTAACAATTAAGATAAATTTAATTAAGATAACATTTAAGATAAATTTTCACATAAAATATTAGGATGAAATTGCAACAATTTTGTACACACAGAAACCCTTTCGTTTGCAAAATGAATCATAAAAAACCAGTCACATTTATAAAAAAAAATATCAATGGATAAACAACTATTTTAAAAGTTGGTTAAACACTACACCAATGTATACCTGACACCCCATCCTCTAATGGCATTTATTAACACTACAAAATCCCTTAATAAATACTGCAAACCCATTGGACGTCACAAAAGAAGACGGGGTACAAAATCATTGTTTCCTTGTAGGGCCAATATAAGTTTCAAATAAGAAAACTGGTTTCACGCACCTATCAGCCCTTACAACACGTCACACATTATCAATAAAGTTCACAACACAAAATATATAAAGATATTACGGTTCACAATTCAACAATAGTATTTCCACGGAGGTTATGGGAACGTTACTTCGATATTATACGATTTCTCACGTAAACTATATTACAAACAAGGGTAGATCATATTATTTTATATCTTTAATATAATAACTCTGAGGTAGTTACAATATATGAGTAATTTACGAAAACTTGACACGACAAAGTAGGTTAGTGAATCGGCGAATTCTGTTTGCCGCGCTTTTTATTTTTTCCTTCACTTTGACGGCTGTCAAAAGAGGTTGCGTTCTAAAATTACTGTTTTGATAAGTCAGTATCTTTTTACATTCATTACTTTATCATGTAATATAATTAAATATAATCATTAATTTAAGTAATTTGGATATCATTATTGATTATTTATTATGTATAGATTTTTTTTTATAGCATTACTGATGTTCCAATGTTTTATACATATAAATACATAGTATAAAACAAAATCGCAATCGTCTGTTCGCATATCTTTTAAATTACGCAACAGACTTTAATACAGTTTCCAGCAATAGATAGAGTGATTCAAGAGGAAGATTTATATGTATAATACATACGTGTATAAAACAAGCCGAGAAAATTAAAGATTTGTAAGCCTTATTAAGCTACTCTTATTATTATTAGAATTATCATAGTCAATCAACCAGTCTTTCTTTTAATTGGAATGGCAGTACGGATCATTCATTGCTATTTAGAAGAACAAGATGGAATGGCTCTTATCCTGTAATTTTACTGCCTCGAATGAATACCAGTATTTACCATAATCTAAACCGTAACTCCATCTTGCCCGTCGGTTATTTATGTCTTATGTGCATTTCATGACAATAGAGAATCGGTTAGTTAATCAATATTCATCATAATAACAGATAGGGCGTTCTCGTTATTTGAATAAATGTTTTTAACGGCTTTTATTTCTGAACGGTTCTTTATGTATCTTTTTTTTTAATGGATATTTGAAAATTGATTTTTAAATATATGTATGTAGTAAGTCTGTTGATTCTCGAAACAGATTTAAAAAAATTAATGACCACAGATCTTACTTATTCTTAATATTTTTTTCCTAGTGTCCAGTTTTTTTTTTGGTTCGGTTTTTCCCTTTTTAGAGAAAGGCAAAAGGACTCAGCCCATACAGCCCCTAGTGTCCAGTTCACTATAAATGAGAAGAACTGTCAAGAAACTCAAAATGGATTAATCATGATGGGTATTTTTTAAACTGTTTTATAGTTATAGTTATTTACTACAATTTAATAGAATTTTAACGTTATAACTAACGTCTATTTTTTGTAACAAATACACTATTGAATATAAAAAAAAACAAAATTTAGGAAATCGCTAATTTATGGTGAGCATAGACATTTTGTGCAATTTTTTCAACGGTTACGTTATGCGTGTATTCATTTACCCTTGCGAGTACCTGCATTGATTGTGCTACGTCTTATCATAAAGCAAGGGGCTTTTTTATGCAGTTAACGGTACCAGGGGGACATAAATACGAGGAAGAATTGTTGAGAATTGACTAGAAAGTTTACGGGTTTATGTGATTAGTTGAATGGTAAACAAGGTAACGGCTTACCTGATGGTAAGTGGTAAGTGTCTAGTTTAATAATAATAACCCGGTTTAAACAACGCCATCGAGTCCTGAGCTAAGCAGAGCTTGTGGTACTAGATATTTTTTTTATAAAAGCTTAGAAAACACTTACATAATATAAATAATTATACATCAATACAAATTTTTGCACCGTGCGAGAAATCGAAACTGCGACCATTGGTAAGTGGTGTGGCCCTCTATGTACATAAAATAGAAATAATCTTTATTAAAATAAACTGAATATAAGCACTTTCGAAGTCTTATAAATTTTTTATTCTACCGCTCATTTGAAAGACAGACTCAGACAAGAAGAATAAGCAATAAACTTGCGTGTTGCTCTTTTACATAATAGTTGTTCTAAGTAAATATACCTCCATATAGTCAACATGTTTATATGTTACTATATTTTGGTGCTATACATAAATTGAAACACATTACTGCTTGTAGCCAACAAGCAGTATTTTTAGTTCTTCGTGAGTTTGAATTAGAAATTATAAAACTTGAATATCAATAACGCGTATCTACAATATTGCTAATTAGTTTCTATCAGGCGTTTCAATAATAATAAATTTATTTGTAGATTATGTAAGGTTTTGATTAAATTTTGTAAATATGGCCCTTGCAAAATCTGCTTCTATCAAGCGTACAAATCTTAAAGTTAATTAAATTATCGATTTTTTATATAATTAATAATTATTGTATATATGCCAATTTGTATCTATATAAATCTAAATGTCATGAGGTATAATTTATTATTTTAGGATTTCATAAATTCTTGAATTGAGTAGAAACACTTGGAAACTACCCATTCATGCAGTTTTCTTTTAAATAATATTCCAGAGAGAGTTCTTGTCATCAGGAAGTTTATTAAATATTTGTATCTCCATACAAAATGGACACTTATTTGTTATGGACAGTTTTATTGTATGTACTTTTATTTTACTTGTATGGCTGTCGCGTATTGATTTTTTCATCGTTGTCTCTTTTAGAGGAAAGTATTCTGGTTGTTCCTTTACGAATATGCATAATTGTTTAATATATAAACATATTAAGGTAAGCAGTTTATTTTTTTTAAAAAACGGACGACAAGACTATTGTATGTGCGCACCAAAAACTGACCTTATACTTTTTTTGTGATTTAAACACGATTTCATATGACAATGTTTATTGCAATGTTTTACAACAAACTCCCAGAGTCTGTACACAATTTTCCAGAAAAAAAAATTCAAATGTGTCATAAAATATTTTCTTTGTGAAAAATCTTATTATAAAATTGAAGAATTTATAAATGATAATAATGTTTTTGTAGAAAATATCTAACTTAAAATTCATAGCGCTGACAATGTTATCTGATTGAACAGAGATTAAGCGCGTAGCGGTTTCTATGTTGATTGTCGCATGCCTAATCCTTGTTAATTAAATATAAGTAAATCAATACTTATTTAAAAGAGCAACACACAAGTTTCTCATTCTTGTGATGAATCTGCATTCCGAATGAGCGGTAGAATAAAAAAACTTGACTAATCAAAAGTGCTTATATTAAGTTTATTTGAATAAACGTTATTTCTATTTCTATGAAGACATGTTCCACATACGAAATTATCGATACCAAAAAACTAGTGTTTACAAATATAATATTCAGAAACCTGTTACTGGTAATAAACCGTTTATACGAAACGTTCGTTATTCGGTATTGTCTATGTGTTTTATCTCAATACAATAAGGTCGAGATTGGTGTAGCGGCTGTTGTGGAGGGATAAAGTGCATTGGAGGTATGTAAATCTATCTGTAAACGACACTGACTGGTGTCGGTGCATCCACTTTTGTGTATTGTATTGTAAATAATAAAGAAACTGGTTTGCACGACTAACTGAGAATTTCAGTTGGTTGTCAGACTTATTGATAACTAGCTGTACTCGGGACTTTGTACGCGTGGAATTTAACTTTATTTTTCTAAAATAATAGTAGCCCAAGTTACTCCTTATTACATCAGCTACCTACACGTAAAGTCCCGTTGAAATCGGCCCTAAAAAGTTTGTTTGTTTT